GTATTCCCACGTATTCCCATGTATTCCCATGTATTCTCACGTATTCCCATGTATTCCCATGTATTCTCACGTATTCCCATGTATTCCCATGTATTCTCACGTATTCCCATATATTCTCACGTATTCCCATGTATTCCCACGTATTCCCATGGATTCCCACGTATTCCCATGTATTCCCATCTATTCCTATGTATTCCCATCTATTCCCATGTATTCCCATCTATTCCCATGTATTCCTATCTATTCCCATGTATTCTTATCTATTCCCATGTATTCTCACGTATTCCCACGTATTCCCATGTATTCCCACGTATTCCCATGTATTCCCACGTATTCCCATGTATTCCCACGTATTCCCATGTATTCTCGCGTATTCCCATGTATTCCCACGTATTCCCATGTATTCTCATCTATTCCCATCTATTCCCATGTATTCTCACGTATTCCCACGTATTCCCATGTATTCCCACGTATTCCCATGTATTCCCACGTATTCCCGTATATTCCCACGTATTCCCATGTATTCCCGTGTATTTCCATGTATTGCAATGTATTCCCACGTATTTCCAAGTTTTCCCATGTATTCCCACCTTTTCCCATGTATTCCCATGTATTCTTATGTATTCCCATGTATTCCCAGGAAAGCAACGGAACAAATAAATAAATAATTTTAATTTCGACTTCATCTTTCCTCGGAACTTTTTCGGTAGGACTCAAATTTGCTTCTACTTGCTCGTTTTGTTTACCTGCTTCCCCGTGAAGGTTTAATGATTCTTCCATTGAGTGTTATGAATATGAACAAGCCAATTTTTTTGTATTCTTTGTTTGTAACTTTTTGAAGCTAGGCAACTGGTACAATAAGATCGGTCTAGATGCCGGTCTAGATGGGAAAAACTAGTAAGGATGGGCCGATACCGACACCAAATATTCGATACCAGCGATACTGAGGTCGGATCGAAAAATATCGATACTAGCGATATTTCACGTGGGAATACATGGGAATACATTGGGAATAGATGGGAATACATGGGAATACGTGGGAATACATGGGAATAGTGAGAATACATGGGAATACGCGGGAATACATGGGAATACGCGGGAATACATGGGAATACGTGGGAATACATGGGAATAAATGGTAATACATGGAAATATGTGGAAATAAATGGAAATACGTGGCAATACACGGGAATACATGGGAATACGTGGGAATACATGGGAATACGTGGGAATACCTGGGAGTACGTGGGAATACATGGGAATACGTGGGAATACATGGGAACACATGGGAATACGTGGGAATACAAGGATAACTATGGGCGGCCGTCACCACCAAAAATACAAGGCTGTCAAATAGATCAGTAAATACAAAGATGGTTTAAGGATCAGCTGCAGCATAGCGTAGCTAATATAAAGGAATGGTATGGCCAAATTATAGACAGTCTAGATTTCCTTCATGAAACAGAACACCCTATACATAAATAGTTTAGCCAAATGATAAACAGTCTAGTTTCCCATGTCGAGTTGGAACATGAAATTGTGAAATGGACCAGCCAAATTGCGAATAGTCTAGCATTCATTTGCAATACAGTGCACAAACGGTGTAGCGTTGCGTCAAATGACTCATAGTAATTTGGAGTAGCACAGCGTACGCACAAACGGTGTAGCGTTGCGTGAAGTGGCTCAGCGTAATGTCGAATGGTACAGCGTAGGTAGAAACAGTGTAGCTTTGCGTGAAAAGGCCCAGCGTAATGTGGAATGGTACAGCGTACACACAAATGGTGTAGCGTTGCGCGAAATGGCTCGGCGTAATGTCAAATGACTCAGCGTTATGTCAAATGGTACATCGTACACACAAACGGTGTAGCGTTGCGTGATATAGCTCAGCCTTCACGTTACGCCACAAGCAAGCTCGACGATTGGCCACAACATCGAAATATTTCATGTAATGCTCAGCAATTTAATGTTCAAAGAGAGCGTCTGATGTTCTGCAAAGCTATTCGACGTAACGCTACACCAAACGTGTGTACGCTGTGTCATGCGACATTACCCTGTGCCATTTCACGCAACGCTACACTGTTTGTATGTACGCTCTACCATTCTACATTACGCTATTTCGCCGAAACCACCAAAAATACAAACCGCAAATGGAACAGCGATCTGCTGGGGGGCATGACGTCATCGAGTGTGAAGACTGGCGCGAAATCATCACATAGTGTGGTCGCTGTGTTGAAGAGCCTTCACTTCGCCTTGCCGTAAACCAGAGTCAATTCGGTAAGTTTCTCCTCTTTTTTTCCCCAGCTGATATTGCATTTATTCGTTGTCCTTCATGAAAGCGTTAATTAAAATAGCAACAAGACTGGATTCTACCATGGTTTGCCGGCCTCCCGGTTTACCACAGTTTGCACGCGTTGGTGCGCCTGAATGTTTATAGTATTAAGTAGTGTTATGACGAGTAATAATGTCGATTGCCGACTGGAGCTCTCTTTTCTTTTCTGACTCGCGCTTACTTTTCAATGAGAGTTTAACTGCAAAGGCTCTTTGAACATTGCAGAAGTACGTTAGAAGTTGGATTTTGTGTGTGCCCTGGACGCCATGGTAAGAAAACTGATAGCCTTGATCTGTTTTGACATTAGATAATCAAAAATGTAGTTTTTGCCAAAGCAACCTTTTTCCGAGTTGGTTTTGAGCACATACATGCCTTCCTTGATGAGACATGTCTGCCATTAAATAAGTAAGAAAAAGCTCAGACATAAGGTAAAAGATAAAAGTCTGTTTACGAACCTAGTGGCCCATTAGGCCGGTGCTTAACTCCGGTTTCTGTAGCATGAAGCGACCAGGAGTATTTCTTCTCCCCCTCGGATGGGATGCCAGTCCATCGCAGGGTTACCCCCAGCATTAGATTGCCGGTACCCATTTATACACCTGGGTGAAGAGAGGCACTGTGAGAGAAAAGTTTCTTCTTGCCTAAGAACACAACACAATGTCCCGGCCGGGACACGAACCCGGACCACTCGACCCGGAGTCGAGCGCACTAACCATGAGGCCACCGCGCCTCCCCAATGTATACCTTTCCCACCGCACTCAATGATATCTTTTGCATGAGTTTTCTTAAAATCCACAAATTTAAATTAGTTGACAATATCCCCAAAAACCCACTCTACTGAAATGCGGACACTGCTCATCGACTTGTTAAACTCTTCCATCTGGGGAGTGATATCTGCAGCGCGATATGGCACAGCAAGGTGAACTCTTAATGGGTAAGCAGGGTCACCATATAAGGCCATGGGGTTACCAGTGGAGAAAAAGCATGGTGTTCAGGGGCTCGCAAAAGGCCAAAATCATGTTTGCGGCCCTCTGGAAGAAAATGCACAGTTTGATTGAAAATTGTGTTCTGTACTTTTTAAAAGAAATACAACTTTTATTTATACTACTTGATATGTTCCACGCCTAAAACTGCTTTCACCTATCTATCACTCTGTTTGTATTTACCGTCTGACAGATGGTTCTCATGTGACTAAAAATTGAAAGGAATAATTTCCATTACCTACTGGCCCGTACATGTTGGCTATTATACCACATGGAAATGCAACAGATTGGTATTTCAATCCGTGGACTCTTTTGTGTCCGTTGTACACAATTCCTTGGTTTTCTTGTGGTCGGCAAATGGGTCTTACTGTACCATCTATGAAGCCAAAGCAATTCGGCAGGGGACTTCCTTTCCTTTGTATGGCATCAGCATAACTCTGAAGTTGAGGGGGGCTCATTAAGGTGTGGTTCCATGCTGTCAGACGGTGATGATGTAAGCAGTACACAGTTTCCAATACATTATTAGTGATCATACAAAATTCTGGTACTGGGCGGCCAAAACGATGGATTAGGTCACTGTACCTACAAGGGTACGCTAATCTTCTCAACAAAAGACAAAGGCCTTCAATTCCATCACATACAGTCCCTTGTTCACATGTATACGAATCAGGCAGCGCCACTGCGTCTGCGAGAATAGGTATATCCCTTTTTCGGAAACGAAACTCTGCCCAGCACTCACTTTCGTCGAGTCCTTCCAGGTCAAAATGTTCGCAATTCT